GGGGAGTGTCCCGGTCGCAGGTGAAAAAGGTGGGGACCCGGGTCCTGGCCAGGGTGAGACTTTGGAGCTCCAGATGTGGACCCGAGGCGTCTGCTGCTGCCGGCCCGGGTCTCGCTTCCGTAATGAGCTCCTGGCGCCCCCCTGCGTGACCTCCAACTCTCGGAGTTGCACTGAGGGGGTGGTACCTAGTAGTTAGGGCGGGGTCGCCAGAGTGCGTGTGTAGAGTACATGGAGTTCCTAGGAACTGAAATTCCTCCCCCAACCTTCCGAAAAGAACATCTTGATAGTCTTGGCTCAGGTCGCCGTTTGTGCGGCCACAGGGTCCTGCTTGCACTAGGCTGTTGGCCTCTGAACTTCAGTTGATCATAGAAGTCCACAGGCCGAGGTGCTTTCACATTATTTCATTTGTACCCTGTGGAGCCCAAGAAGAGTGCCTAACGCCACAATTTCCTCCCATTCTACAGATGAGAATACTGAGGTTGAAAGGAACACCCTGGTCAGAAACTTCAACTCAGGAGTGTGTGACTTAGTTGCAGGGATATATACAAGTCATTTTAAATCCAGCTCTTAACTATTACAGCAAGTAAATTGTGCAGTTAAAAGGGGGGGAGTGGCTGACAATTCCTTTTGGGACCATGAGTATTTTTAACAACGTTGTATGTACATATATGTGTGTATACATATATATTTTATTTATATTTATATTTACAGGACCAAGGTGGCCTGAGGAATCTCACTCCCAGAATTGTCCAGTTAGTTGACTGGTCACAGCAACTGGTGCCATAGGGCCAGGGTTCTGGAGATCACCCAATTTCAGTAGTTGTTAGAATGACAGGAGATCTCAATAATTTGAAGAAGAATCCCCATGGACAACAGATGTCTTAAATATTGAGAAGGGACTTGGTTTCTCCAAGGCACTCTTTGGAGCAGACTACATTCCTATCTCAGTTCATCCTTTTTTTCCTGGACAGCATCAGAACCCCTGCCCCAAGTGTGGTTTCCAGCCTTTAGTCTTCATTATCCTGGGCAGAGTTCCTCATGCACCTTAATGTATGACCCCCATCTCTCCACTCTGAAGTTAGTTTCCTTTTCAGAGCTGTCTTTATAATCTTGGGGAAGTGACCCATTTTCTTCTTCTGGGGTCCAATAGTTAGGGCGGGGACCCCTAACTATTTTGGCTTCCTATTTTCCAGAACTGCCTTCCTTTGGAAGCCTCTCTCCTCTTTGCCAGTTCAGTTTTTTTATTCCTCCACCCTAGAGTGTTTCCTTCTCTGCTGCAGGCTCCTCAGATGGTGCTGCCCCCCCATTTATTAGAGATGAAATAAATAATGCCATAAATAAAAGTATTTGGGAGTCCAGGAACTGTCAGGGCTGATTAGGGCATAGAGGACATTTTCTTTCTCATTATGCAAAAGCATTTCATGGGGAAATAAAAGAGGTTTCATTGTAACTCATGCATGTCATATTTCAAGGAATTCAAGATATTAATCATATTTAACATTATTTGCAACGTTTCTCCCTAGCTTCTGAAAACTGCTAAATGAGGACACGTGGATCACTAGGAAAAAGGGAGATGAGCATAAGAGGGACAGTTAAGAAATAATGAAATGCTGTTGAAAGACAGAGAGAGAGAATGAGATGCCAGAGAGATGTTTCTTAGGTACATAAGTGAGAAATGGGGAGCTGTTTCTGAGACATGAGACAGCTGAAATTGAATGATATACTGGAGGAAATAAATGATAACAAGCCTCCCCATACTTGCCTTTCTATACAGCAGTTCTGAATTTTACATTGAAATGTCTCCCTCCCTCTTTACTCCCAGATAATTTGCTGGTAAGTCCTGACTTTTTATAAGAAATTGAGGTGGGGAGGTGTGGAGGGGAGAAATTCTTCAGTATTTCTACTGAAGAAATGATTTTCTATACCTGGGGTCTTTCTCTTCTTCTTAGGTATTTTTATTTAATGCCTTCCTCACCACTTAGATAAGACAGTTGGGAATACTGTTGTTATATTTTACCAACCAAAGGAACCAGCCATCCTTGACATCAGAAAGTGGTCATTTCATTAGGTTTATAATCCCAGTGACTCAGGAGGCTAAAGAAGGAAGATCACTAGTTCAAGGCCAGCTTCAGCAACTTAGAAAGACCCTGTCTCAAAAATAAATAGTAAAGGGGAGGGAGTGGGGTTGTGGCTCAGTGGGAGAGCACTTGCCTAGCACCTGCAAGGCACTGGGTTCCATCCTCAGCACCACATAAAAATAAAGTAAAGGTATTGGGTCCACCTACAACTAAAAAATAAATATTAAAAAAATATTAAAGGGTCTGGGAATGCAGCTTAGTGGTAGAGTGCCCTTGGGTTCAACCTCTAGTACTAGGGGGCGGAAAAAGTAGTCAATTCTATAAACTAAATGCTCAAATTTAGTGGTTGTTCTGGTTTGGGTGCCTCCCCAAAAGCATGTGTTGGAAACTTAATCCTTAATGTGACAGTGTTGAAAAGTGGGGGAGACAAATAGGTGGTGAGGGCTCCACTCTTATGAATGAGTTAAGGCCAATTATAAAAGAACTTGAGGCTGTGAGTTTGATCTCTCATTTTTGCTAGCCGGGCAATGCCTTCCGCCATGTTTTTAATGCAGTAAGAAGGTGCTAACCAGATGTGGCCCATCAATCTTGGTTTCTCAGCCTCTAGAACTGTATGAAATAAATATCATTTCTTTATAAATTGTCCAATCTGTGGTATTCTTTTATAGCAGCACAAAACAGACTAAGACAAAAAAAAATAATGAGAAGTGGGACTGTTACTATAACAATTACCTGAAAGTGTGGAAATTGTTTTGGAACTGGGTAATTGGCATAGGCTGGAAGAATTTGGAAGAAAAGGCTAGAAAGAGCCAAGGTTGCTATGAATTGAGTATTAAGGATGATTCCAGTGAGCTCAGAAGAAAAGACTTATAGGGAAAGTATAGAACTTCTTTTTTTTTAATCTTTTTTTAATATTTAATTTTTAGCTTTAGGTAGACACAATATCTTTATTTTTTTATTTTTATGTGGTGTTGAGGATTGAACCCAGCGCCCCGAGCATGCCAGAGGAGCGTGCTACTGCTTGAGCCACATCCCTAACCCGTAGAACTTCTTAGAGATAACTTTAAGTAATTTTGATGAAAATGCTGGTAGAAATGTGGATGGTAAAGGTCATTCTGATGAAGTCTCAGAGGGAAGCAAGGAGCACGGTGTTAGAAACTGGTGTAAAGGCTATTCCTGTTATGCTGGTGCAGAGAATTCAGTGGAATTGTGTCCTCAGGGGTTGTGGAATGCATAGTTGAAAAGCAGTGAGCTAGGATATCTGACAGAAGAATTATCTAAACAGCAAAGCATTCAAGGTGCTGCATGGCTTCTTGTGGCAGCTTGCAGTAAACCGAAAGGAGAGAAATGATTTAAAGACAGAATTTGTAATTAAAAAAGAAGCAGAGCAGAAACTTTTGGAAATGTGCAGTCTGTCCCTGTATAGAATGAAAAGGCATATACAGGAGAAAATACTAAGGTCGTGGCCGAATGACCCTTTGCTAAAGAGATTAATATGAATCTGAAGGCAGCCAGGTTCTATTGATCAAGACACTGGGACAGTGACCCTGAAGGCATTTCAGAGATCTTGGAGGCTAGCTGGGACTTTGAGGGCAAGTTTTCCAGAGGGGTGTCTGTATGACCTCAGCTATCCAGAGCCATCCATGTTGTGCCACTGTTTCCACATCCCGGTGAAGCATACCTCAGCCATCCCAGACGTGGCTCCGGTGGGTCCAGGTGCAGCTCATGTGCCGCTTCAGCCCTGGAGGGCACAGCAGTAGGCTTCAGGGGCATCCATATTGTGCTGGCTCTGCAGATACGCAGAGAACACAGCCATGTGGCCATCAGGGCTTCTCCCTGGATTTCAAAAGACGTATTAGGCAGCCTGGGGGCCCAGACAGAGACTTGTCAGAGGGCCCAAGCCGCCAGAGAGCCCCTACCAGGGCAATACCTAGTGGAGCCATGGGAACAGGCCTCCTCAGAGACCCCCAGAACTGGAAAGCTTTCAGATCCTTCTGTGGACAGTGACCTGTCTGGGTCCATAGAAAAATGAAGCAGAGAGTAATCACTCTTTAGAAAATAAAGTGGGATTTATTCCAAATGTGGAATTGTACCCAATTTGAAATTGTAACTGACCACTCCTTCCTGCCTGAGATTGGACATAACTGAGTATATAAAAATGTGTGGGGCTGAAGTTCTCTGAAGAAGCCACATCTATATTAAAGATCCTGCAGACCATTTGATCTTGACTTAGTAGAACATCATGATTGTGGAGAGATGGAATGTTGCAGGTCAAGAGCCAAAATTATCCTGGGCTGTCTTAGTCTTCTTAATGTCCATTTGCTTTAACTCTTGTGTCTGACCTGTGTTACCAGGTAAAACTCTATGAAAGTGTCCCTAAGCTTAGTAGACCCCTGCTCTCCACCAACCCTAAGATAAGTTATAACATCCAAAAACTATAGAAGAACTTTCCCTGCTTTGCTGTAGCGTTGCCTGCCGGACACCCCCATAAATGCATTTGGTAAACACATTTTTGTACCGTGGTGACGAAAGTTCATGTAATCTTTTCCAGGATGGAACATGTCATTCAGGGTAACTTAAATCTGTGTTCTTTGGCCATCATCACTCATATCTGGCTCAGAATAAACTATTTTCTGATTTACTTTAAAGCAGAGTTGTTATTTTACAACACTTTGGTGCGAATGTAATGTATTAAAGCATTTATAAAATTACTGGTAGCACTCTGTAAACATCTTGCTCTAAATTGTAGTCTAAATTATCAGTTGGTGACTTTGCCAATACCTTCTTTTGGGGGGGTTCTCACAGGGGCTGATAGGATGGTAATTATACTCATGCTTTAAGTCTTTTTAGATATTTTACTCTTATCTCAAAAAAAAAAAAAAAAGATTGTGAACTTTTAAAAGCCAAGGGGCTATTTATGGACAGGGTGATTTTTTGATTGGCAGCATGTCAACTCCTTAAGCCATCCAGAATATAGCCTTTAAATAATAACTCAGCCATGGGAAATGCTTTTTATTGCACCAATTTCAATGATATTTAATGAGCTTCTGATTGACTGTTTGATCTCCCAATGTTTTGTGCTACTTTTAATTCATTTCATATAATAGAAAAAAAGTAATTGGAATAAAATTTTGTGACAAGATAATGACCTTCCACTTTGAAATTAAATGTCTGATTAGCTTCCACATTTTAATGCTGAGATGATATTGCAGGAGGAACAGGAGTGTGCATATTATCAGTGGAAAATGACTAAGGAATACTCCTTTGCTTTTCCTATTGCATAGCAAAGAGGTGTGGTGGCCATAGAATCATAAACACAGGACTAGAAAGGAATTTACCAGTTTTTAAGTCTTGTAACCAAGCCTATAACCATAGCTTTTCAATGACCCTGTCCAGTGGTTATACAAATCATACTTGAGTACGTCCAGTAATAGGGATCTCACTTGCTCCAGAAGCATCATTTCTCCTGGTGTTTATATCCAGACACTCAACATTAATTGAGTGTTTTCTATGTGCTAGGTGCCTTTCTAAGCAATGAGGGACTTTACAATGGTGAACCAGATTCCAAGGTCCTACTATTACAGGATTGGGGGTGAGGTGGGAGCAGATAATAAACAAATAGGCTAATAACGAACTTAACATTATTATTTTGGATAGGTACAAATATTATCTAAAAATTAGGGTGGGGATGTTCCTTTTAACAGAGTGGCTGAGAAGACCTGTCTGAGGTGGGTCAGTTGAACTGAGAGTTCATGGGTGAGAAAAAATCATCTGTGAGAAGAGCAGTCCAGGCCAAGGGACCACCAGTAAACCAGAGCCATAAGGTGGGAGCAGGGGAGGGAGGCCTGAGGGGCAGGCTAGGCCAACCCTCTGTATCAAACCAGGAAATGTTTGGAATTCATCCTAACCATGGAGGTGGTTAAGCTGGGGAGTAACATAACCAGATTCTTAAAAGATAATTTTCAGAAAGATAAAATCATGACTCTCAGACAAACATAAAAATGAGCACATGTTGAAGATTTTACTTAGCTTACTCAGTGCCCTGGTAGTGTTCAAAGGAAATCACTAGTTGGTGTAAGTAATGGAATGTTGACTTGAATGTGTTAATGGATTTTCCAGGGGGAAGGGGCACAGGGGGCAAGGAACCCTCTACCAGACATAACAATTTGCATGTCTATCAGTTTTTTAAACATTGAAAGTTATCAAAACAGTTCAAAGAATAAAAGAGTAGAAGCAGGTGACATGTAGACTGTGCAGAGTTTCGTTGAAACACCATTTCTTTTCTGCAGTGCTTTTCTAAAAAGAATTCTTTATTTTGAAATAGATTCACAAGAGTTTGCAAAGATAGCACTGAGAGGTCCCAGGTAACCTCCACCCATTTTTTTTTTTTCTTACATGCTGGGGATTGAACCCAGGAGTACGCTACCACTGAGCTATATCCCCAGCCCTTTTTATTATTAATTTTGACATGGAGTCTCACTAAATTACCCTGTCTGGCCTTGAATTTTTGATGATCCTGCATCAGCCTCCCAGGTCACTGGGATTAGAGGTGTGTCCGACTCCACCTGGCCCCTTTGTCCACTTCTTCTCCTGGATATGTCTTATGTGACTAGTGAAGTAAGTGGAATCGTGCAATAAGTGATCTTTTCAGATTTTTCTCTTAGTTTAGTGCCCTGGAGAGCCATCCTTGTTTGTCATGTATCAATAGTTTGTTCCTTTCTACTACTTAGTAGTGTGGATATACCACAGGTTGATAACTAAATTTGTAGGAAGGACATTCTGGTTGTTTCCAGTTTGGGGCTATTATAAATATAGCTACTCTGAATAATAAATCATGTGCAGGCTTTTTTTTTTTTGTGTGTGTGTGTGGTTTATTTTTCTGGGAATAAATATCTAAGAATGTATCGCTGGGTCATTCCATGTGTTTCAAAAGATTCTTTGCCTTGTGGACAATGAGCTCTAGAGGGTCAGATCAGATTGACAACTAGGAGACCATTTATTTTAAAAACAGCAGCCAAAAGAACCTTTTAAAATATAATCATGTTTCCACTCCACTTTTCATTGTCTTCTTCCCCCTTAGAGCAAAATGCAGAGTCACAGTTGTAACTTGACCCTCATGCTCTGCAGCCACCCCTTGCCTCTCAGAACTCCATCTTTCTACCCGCTCCCTCCAGCTTTTATACCAGTGAGACCAGTAAGGCTGAAGCTAGCCTCTATGTTCTCCTAGAACAGGCCCCAAATACTTCCCTCTCAGTAGTCCTTCTGTTTGAAATATTGTCCCCAGATACCTGCAAATCTCTTTCCCTCATCTGCTGGTCTGCTCCAGTATCCTTTTCTTGGTGAGGCCTTTGCTGATCACCCCGTCCGTGTACAGGTGTAACCCTGTCCCTCCTCCTACACCCACATTTATCTCCTTTCCCACCTAGCACTATCCTGGGACTGTCAGGTTCTGCCCTCTATTTGTTTATGAATTGCTTCCCCTGATAAGAGTGTGATCTCCCCAAGGTCAGGGAGTTTTGTCTGTTTGTCCTCTACTGAGCTCACAGCATCTAGAATAGTACCTAGCATATTGTAGAGGATCAATGAACATTGATTCAATGTGACTTTAGGGGGCTCTGGCAGCAATCCTGATGGGAGCTAAGACCAGTGTAGCAGGAATCATGATAGAAAGAAGTGAACTTCGGTGGAATATACTCTGTTCCATCATATAACCCTGAACACTGAAAAGTCTGTCTTTGTTTTGAACCCAAATTTAATTATTTGCTTCCTCCAACTTGAAAGAAAAGTGGTGCAGAACTGATCACACATACACACCTGGGATAAGAAGTGAGTTTAACGTCAGGATACACAAAGAGAGGGACAGCAGCAGCAACTCTCCCTTTACGGGCTAGAATCATGATCAGGCGCCAAGGGCAGGTTTAGTCTTGACTGACTGAACATCCCCTGATCTCCCTTTATCTTCTCAAGGAGAGAACTGGGAAACCAGTACATCCGCATCTCAGGGGCCAGTAAGTTGTCTCTTATCTCTCAATGAGAGAACAGGAAGAGACAGGCAGTCTCCAGACCAGTAGGTTTTATCTCAGGCTAGTTTCTATTTCTTGGGAATAAGAACAGTATTCATACAGTGGGGGTGGGGGAAGGAAGATGGCTGCAAATAGGCTAACACAACGGTGGACTCTTGGGGCTAAGAGGAAAACCTAATCCCCTCCCATCCTCTCTTTGGAAGTGAAATATATAATAGTTTTCTTTCTTTCTCATAAAGGTTTCTAGAACATTTTCAGAGTGGATACATCTTTTAAAGAATAGAAAGGTACACTCATCTTTGATATTATTATTATTATGATTATTTTCACTAATAGAATCCTAGATTCAATAGGGCTTCCCCTCCCCCATACTGGAGATTGAACCCAGGCCTGCTTTACCACTGAGCTACATTCCCAGCTGTTTTTGTTTGTTATTTGGAGACAGGATTGTTGAGTTTCTCAGCTAGTCTCAAACTTGCAATCCTTCTGCCTCATCCATCCATGTTGCTGGGATTACAGGCGGGTGCCACTGTGCCCAGCCTCATTAAGACTCTTTTTAGAAGTAAATGACAGACACCAACTCAAAGGACTTAAGCATAAAAGGTGCTTATGCCTCATATCATCATGAAGACTAGAGGTGTATCTGGTGCTAAGCAGGTGTGGATGTTCATATCATATTATCAGTTATCTACCTCCTCATTCTCACTTTCTATTTTCTGTGTGTTGGTTCATTCTCTTCCAATCTGTTCT